TTTTTATTTATTTATTTTATTTAATTTATATCCCGCCTATCTAGTCGTGGTGGACTACTCTAGACTACTCTTCCGTACATCACTACAGGGAAAACCATAGCTTTGACTATGCGGACTTTTGTTGGCAAGGTGTTGGCTTTTTAGGATGCTGTCAAGGTTAGTCATCGCTTTCCTCCCAAGAAGCAGGCGTCTTTTAATTTCAGGGCTAAGTAATTTTGATGTTGCTATGTTTCTGTAGGTGTCCGGTGCTAGGCTGTGATGGCCAAGGTCACATATCAGGTAAATACACTTCCCATCGCACTGCTTCGGGTTGTCCTATGGCTGCCAAGAGACAGAAGGAAAGTCCTCTCAATGGGTCTTCACTGCCTTGGAAACTGAACAAACAAGAACTGCCACACTGTCCTTTACCAGGCTGCAATGGGCTGGGTCATGTGAATAACGTTTTTGTCACCCACAGAAGGTATCATTTTGTTCTTTTCTTGTGATTTTTTTTAAAAAATCTGGAATTATGTCCTGTTATAGAATTGTAGCTGAAACTATTACATGCGGATTGTGAAAAAACTGTATTAGGATTTTGCATGAACTCTGTGGGTAAATGCAGCAGATTATCTTGAGGTCCTTTGCCTAGGATCTTTCAGGATTTCTTTGGCTTTATTCTACATATCCAATCATTCTTCTTCGTGGCCTCTGTGAATACACACATATGGGTTTAGTCTGCGCCTGCGCTGACATTCTTGGAGCATTCCAGAGCTAAAAGTAACAATTTTATGGTATGATCCCCCATGAGGCACATGCTCCTCCATTTCCAACTAGAACGCTGAGGATCTGTATATGCAAGTGTGGTGCTCTATAAATCCCTCTAAAGCAGTGTTTCCCAATCTTGCTTCCCAAGATGTTCTTGGACTGCAGCTCCCACAAACCCTGGCCAGCACAGCTAGTAGTGAAGGCTTCCAAGAGTTTTAGTCCAGGAACAACTGGGAACCCAAAGTTGGGAGCCAGTGCTCTAAAGGACAAAATAGTTTTAGTTTCACACTACCGAATTAATATCTTCATGAGTCTTTTAGGTTGGCTCCGTCAGCTGTTGTGCTGCTAATGGATTTGTAGGATGAGTTTCAAAGACTTCATCAGCATAAATATTTTTGTCAGGAACCAATGGGGTTGTTCTGTGGATACAGTTTCTCTTGACAGTGGGATGGGAGAGCAATGAACCCTCTCCTCCACAGCCCTTTGTGCTCCCTCAAAGCCTGCTAAGAACTGCTGAGAAATCATCAAGAACAGGTTTTTCAACACTACAGAGCTGTAGTAGTAAGGGATAAGAAAGATGGTCCCATCACATTGACAGTTGGGCACTGGTTATATTGAATGTGGGGCATTAATTACAGCTTTGTTCCTTAGACATTAAGTGACCTGGGATTTTGCACAACTGCCTTATTTTTTTACCCTGTCTTTCCGCTACCAGATAGTGCTCAAGGCAGCTTACAATCATTATAAATCATAGTAAAAACAAGTTGAACTGTAAAATCATTTAAACCCAAACCAAACCATTATCATCACCCCAGGAAGTGTTAAAGCTTCTGCTTTGGTAGCAGTCACCATTGGAACTTATCCATTACATAATGAGCTGGAGAGGGACTGTGGCAGGAGTCAGACTGGAGACCATTTACCTATTTGCCAACTTCTTCAATGAGATTTTTAGTTACTACACAACCAATTATGTCATGGCAACCTTATATACCTGATCACATTGCAGCAACTGTATTATGAGATCACAGCTTACTGACACCACAATAAAATGGACTTGAACTTAACAAGACACTGGAAGCAGCTATCAAAATGTGTTTCAACTTTCATATAGGTCCCCTTTCCTACTCTTTTCAGTTTGTCTGGATGCCCTTTGAATGCACAAGCCTTAAAAAAGGGCAAAATATCTGAAGAACTGATGACCATCAAATTGAAAGCAAGTGGAGGTAAGATGTCAAAAGTATATGAATACATGATACTATCATTACTCAGGGCTTTTCTACATGGACAAAATTGAAGGAGGCTGGATTGGACTAAATACGGTCACTAAGGTCAAGTAGAGATTTAGTATGCCATTTGGAGTGCTCCTTGCGTCCAAATGGCATAGGCATCCCCAGCAATCTTATTTGGTCTGGCTTTTTTAAGAAGAAAGGAAAGGAAAAGAAAGATCTCCATCCTTGTCTCTTTTGACTTCTCCCACTTCTGGGATGAAGATTTAACTTTTTTAATTTTTTTCTCTAAGTGGTACAGCTCATCAGCACTGCAATACAATAGTTTTTCAAAGCTTATTCTGCTTCATGGCAAAAAACCCTCCATCCTCCTCCTCCTCCTCCTCCTTCTTCTTCTTCTGTCTGTGAATTTCATTGTATGTGTATATACTTACAATGACAATAAATTATTATTATTATTATTATTATTATTATTATTATTATTATTATTATTATTATTATTTTGCTTCCTCTCTGCTTCATGGAGAAGCAGGGGATGGAAGTTCTAAATTTCCCTATTTAATTTGGCAGTTCCCCATATTATTAAGTAGTTAATATGTCTGTTTAATGCATTGATGATATGGGGATATTGAAACCAGCTGGGAAATGGATACTAGTCTGTCTCTTGTCACATCATAAGAAATAACTTTCCAAATTGGAGGAGTCCTCAGAGATCATCTAATCTAACACTGTTCAATGTAGGACCTACAATGTAGACTCTTATTACAGATGGCCATCCAGCCTCTGTGTGATTCGCCCAGAGAGTGCTTGAAGCGCTATGGGGCGGTATATAAGCAGTACGCTTTGCTAACACTGTTCAATGTAGGACCTACAATGTAGACTCTTATTACAGATGGCCATCCAGCCTCTGTGTGATTGGCTGCTGAAGTTACTTTCACCCTGTCTGTATGTTGCCGTCGTTACTGTTGTTTCACCCTTCTTAAAACTGGTACAATAACTCTCTCTGGTCTGACCTTTACACAAATGTTTTCCAGTCCTTCATTAACAGCAGCAATACACAGTGAAGAAATTTGCTGGTAGGCAAACCATGGCAGGGAGATAGTGGGAAGAAAGCTTGCATGTACCTGAAGCCTTTAGGAGCTTGCAGTGGAAGCAAGAAGTGCATAATTCAGTAACTGAAAACAAAGCTTGGCTCTCCACCAAAGCATTTAGTGCTCAGTGTCATGGGCCCTGTCCGTTCTGTGAAATTTCATGCAATCTGTCCAGGGCTTAAAACATTATCCTCAGTGCAATCTGTTTCAATTCTTGGTACCCATCTGCAAAGGCAGAACAGAAAGCTATTTTGCATCTCAACGAATCATCCCAAAAAGATTGCATGGCCTAGCCCTGTGTCAGAAAGATATGGGCCAGCTCTTAAAGGGGAAGGATGGACAGTTTTAAATAGAAACAGAAGTGGATGAGGGTTTTTTTTTTTGTTTTTTTTTGACGTGCCAAGCAGTGGTATCAGGGAATCATATACCATAACTATATGCCAATGTGGACAGGCTTATAATTTGACTGTGGTATGTGGATTATTGTGCATCATGTACATTATTTAAAATGGTTTTAAGACAAACACACACACACACAAAGCTTGTTATTGACCTATATGCTCCCATAAGACTTTTGCCCATAGGACAGAATATAAATATTTTAATAATGTAAAACAATAAAATAAAACCAATCAATCTTGCACAATGATACAACTGTAGGTTAAGCAGGGCCAGCCCAAGATATTTTGCTATCTGAGGTGTTGTGATGGTGGTAGAGAACAGTACCAAGTGAACAGCACCAAGTTAAATAATCAGCAATGTGTTTCCCTTTCATACAACAAAAGATCATTGCCTGTTCCTCATTCTGTGCAATGATAGGAATGGCCTTAGTGGCTAAGTAGATAGATACCTGTATGACTGTGTGCGGACAGCTGTACAGCTGTACCTGCTTTCCTGGCAGGGACAGTATGAGTAATAAATGAATATTCAGTTTGTACTGAAGCCCTGTTCAGCTTGAAAGGCTCAAAGGGTGATAAGGATAAGGAGAAACCTAAGCTCCATCTCCATGCACCACGGACATCTTGCAGATCTTCATGTGTTCAGTATGTAGGCCTGCACAGACACTGTAACCATATTCAGCTGATCATGATCATGGACATGCTGTAAGCATGTTCACCTGAACATGCTTAGAGCACTTATACAGACGTTCATAGTGAACATTACAAAGGTCTGTTGAATATTAATGTGAATGGGGGATTACCTGAAGCCTCTGTCACCCCCCACCCTTTGAAAGCTATGTTTTCAGGCTGCATGAATAATGGACGACTAAAGTTTCCTTCCACTTGCCACATCTCATAAGTTGCATGTAAAGGTGGGAATTTTCATCAGAGAGCCACAAACAACTTCCCTAGCCACTGATGTTTTTTCAGTCTTCTTTATCCCTTCAGATAGCTAATCCTAGGCTTCTTGTTGAAAGACAGTTACCTTTCAGGCCTGTTGTTCATTTCAGAACAAATGACATCTATGTGTAAAATAATTGATCAGAGCAGGTCAGAGCAGGAAACCATCTCCTTCTTTCTCTGCCCTCTCAAGCCTTTCACATATATTTCAGCCAAATTGTAAGTCACTTCGAGCCACTGGAAGGCCCACTGGGTTACATCAGTGCCAAAAAATGAAAAAGAAACTGTTTCTTTGCCTCTGATATGACAGAATGGGAGGTTTGACAATGACTGTCATCAGTGTAGAATTAAACTGTAAAGATGTAATTTTGGTCCTGAGGGAAATAGAAGGATATTTAACCAGTTTGACCTAAGAGTGTTGTTTTACGAGGTACCATTAGACAGAAGTTATTGTTTGCCAATCTTTTCAGGCAGGTATTATTTTACAGTTGACGTGACTCATTAAATTCTGTGCAGGTTTAGAGAATGAGGAAGAAATCAGACATTTGGATGAAGAAATAAAAGAACTAAATGAATCCAACCTTAAAATAGAAGCTGACATGATGAAACTTCAGACACAGGTAAAAAAAAATAGTCTGGGTCTCAGCAATAAATATCCATTATTTTCATATTGTTTTGTAGTTTCAACATTGTGACTTTTATTGCTATTCAAGAGATAGGCTTCGAATCTATGCCGTGTTGCTCATTATTGCGTCTGTAAATAGGGCATCTGCATACACATACGTGCACATGGGAACAAGGACATTCAGCAGCAATATCATATGTGTGCTAAGATGTGGAAGTGAAGGAGAGCATAATGGTAGCACACAAATGTGTGCTAAGATGTGGAAGATGTGAGTAAGTGAAGGAGAGCATAATGGTAGCACACATTGCAGTGGAAATGAGAGACAAAAACCTATTGTTTCTGTCCACTAAATGGATTATGTATAGTAAGAAACAGGTTTGGAATGCATGCCGTGTTCCTTATAATTGCAACCATATTTCTGCTATTGTGAAAACAGCACTATATGAAAATTTGGGCAAATTTATAGCTTATTCTTGTCAAACAAATCCATATTGTTTAAAATAAAGTTAAAGCATGGACACGGGAAGCCTCCATTATATACAATTTGTCCAAGCACTGACTTATCTAGTCTTGCATTGTTCACATTGATGACCACACACTGTTGCTACTTGAGAACCACTTAGTTATCATGCCCTCCCACACATATCTTTGCTTTACTTTACATATCTTGCACATTGTAGCTCCCATTTGATATTACTGCTGGATGTCCTTGCTCACATGTGCATGCATGTGTAGATCAGAGCTTTGAAAAATTAGTTTTTTTGGAGCACAGTTCCCAGAATCGGCTCTCCTCCATGGCTGGTGACCATGCTACCGAGAAGATTCTGGAACTGTAATCCAATTTAAAAATTGGGGTGGGGGATGTTTCCCAGCTTTGATATAGATAATATATGTATCCAATAAATGCCAAAAGGTTTTTGTAGAAGCACAGGATTCATGTAGTAGGTCCACTGGGCTACATTCAAGCAGGGACGTTAGCTGATGGACAAAAATAAAGCATAAATAACTAAACTTCTACTATATTTAGGGGTTCTCGGCATGAACTGGAATCCTGAAAAAGAAGCATGATATGGAGAGTTCTCCCTCCTCCCAACCTTGCATAGTTAGTAGAATCTCTTCTTAAGACACATGATTTTCTACAAGTAAGAAAGTGACAAAACCTGAAACAGAAGAGGGCACAGCTAGAGTTTTCTCCTTTACCTGTACAGAATTTGCTAGCAACTGTATAGGGCTTAAGTGTCCACACTGAGTACTAAGCATCCTGGATTCACTGGCAGTTGCAAGTATAACCCAGAAGAAATGCCCTCAGCTTTCTTTGAATGGATCGCCAGCTGACTCAACATGGCATGATGAAAACTGTCCTTCCAAGAGACAGTGATTACTGGTCATTTGTAGAATAAAGAGGGGCATGGTGATGCCCATACGCCAGCCTTGATGTGGGAATGCTTTAGGATTGAATCATTTCTCCCACCAGGGCTGTACAATGCCCACTTGAAGGTATCCTTATCTGGGCCGATTCACTGCTTTTCACTCTCTTTCTGAAAATATTATACTCAAGTATAAAAGACAATACACCTGCTTAATTAAATATCAAGTTTCCATTTTCTGTTTACTAGGAATGAGAAGTTAAACATTTTCTGGATACCTCCCCTAATATTGTTTTTCCATGGAAAGTTTACCACTTTTAGAAATGTATTTTACCATGAAATTAATTAGTGACCTAATGAGTGAACATAGTATATGTTAAGGTGTGCAACATGAATTAATATAATACTACTTAATTTTAAAATTAAAGCTGGAATAAACTTTTTTTACCTGTCTCTCTAAATAAAGAATGTACATTTATGTGCATAGCTTATGAGGTGTACTAAGACTAATATATTAACAGTTTTCAGTGAACAGAATCCTGTGGGTTCCATGCAGTATTGGTCATGCAGGAGAGTTTACCCATGTTACCAGATGTGTGTCATGACTCTTTGGTCAAGGAAACATCTGCATTCCTATTTTCTCCCTCAGTCACATGATGGACAGCAGGAAAAGAGGGAGATATTGGCCTTGCCTGCATTTTTCCTAATAGAATTTCTTGCATTGTCTCTATTTATCTCTTGTAGAATCAAAATTATGTGAAGTATGTGCATTTTCTTGAGCATTCACTATCTGAGCATTCTCCTGAGTTGCAGTGTCTGGAAAAACTGAGAAGCATTCTGATAAAAATAAGTTTCAAGTAAACTTTCCCATTTGTTTGAATGGAAACAGACTGACACTTAATCCAGACAGGATAGAGGTGCTCCTGGTCAGTTGGAAGGCAGATGGGGGAATAGGGATGCAACCGGTGCCCAGCGGGGTTACACTCCCCTGAAAACTCAGGTTTGCAGAATGTGGGCACTCCTGGAGTCACCCCGAGCATCCATTTTGGCGGTGGCCAGGAGTACATTTGCTCAATTAAAACTGATGCATCAACTGAGCCCATTCCTTGAGATGTCTTATTTGGCTACAGTGACACATGCCTTAGTTACATCCTACTTGGATTATTGTAAAACAATCTATACGGGGCAGCCTTTGAAGACAGTTTGGAAACTTCAGCTGGTTCAAAATGGAGCAGCCAGACTGCTGACTGGTGCCAGTTATAAGGAGCATATAACGCCCCTGTTGGTTACCAGTCCGTTTCCAGGCCCAGTTCAAAGTGCTGGTCATTACTTATAAATCCCTGTACATCTTGGGCCCAGGTTACCTGAAGGACCATTTGTCTCGAAATGAGCCTTGTTAAGATCATCCGAGGAGGCCTTCATTGCCAGTGCAGGCTTGTTTGATGGGGACAGGAGAGGGGGCTTTTTCTGTGGCTGCTCCCAGGTTATGGAATACCCTCCCTTGGGAAGTTAAGTTGGCCCTTCCCTTTTATCCTTCCATTGACAGTTGAAGATCCATCTCTTCAGGCAGGCTTTTAATTCTTGGAGCAGAATGTGTGAGAAAATTAAAATTAATTAAAATTAAATCGACTCCCTCTAATTATGCAGTGGATAAAAGGGTTCCATCAGGAACCTATAGAAAAGATTGGCTTCAAGTTTCCCTCCGTAGACAATACCAACTGGTCTACATCAACTGGCACTTACTGTCTCGGTACATTCACTTAGAGGCTCTGGTAATGAGAAAGAATAAAAATGTTCCTAGTTTACTTATAGTTCTTCAATAGATAACAAAAAGTATTGCCATATTGTGTAAAACTGTTAACTTCTTACATGATAGTTCTTGTTAACTTCACTACTGACCAATTGAGTGGTTACATAGCTGACAGAACACTTCACTCTAACTGTCCACTTCTGATGGACTCCATTGCTAACAGTGATCTAATTTAACTCTGACTGGGGAAAAAGCTGAGTGGTTACATAGCTGACAGAACATTTCACTCTAACTGTCCACTTCTGACGGACTCCATTGCTAACAGTGATCTAACTTAACTCTGACTGGGGAAAAAGTAGGTAAAAGAATCTGAGGTAGAAAGGCAACTATCGGCTGTTACTGGATTGACTGACATTCAATCCTGTTCCAGAAAAGTTCCTCCCAACCGAAACCTCTTAAAAGCATCATATGTAGTTTGCAATATATCCAACGTTAACAATCATAACTGAGTCCCTGGATGCTGTTTTTTTAAGTTTAGTTTTTAATGTTTTAAAGGTTTTTAAACACTCAATGTATTTTAATTGTTTTAATGAATAGGTTATTGTGTTTTTAATTTTATTTTTTAACACTGATTAGTTTTTAATGTTTTAAAGGTTTTTAATCACTCAATGTATTTTAATTGTTTTAATGAATAGGTTATTGTGTTTTTAATTTTATTTTTTAACACTGTGAGCTGCCTTGTGTCCCCTTATTGGTAGAAAGGTGGCTTATAAATGACCAAAATAAAAATAAAAGAAATATATATTTCAACCATTCAATTTACATTACAGATTCCACCAAGAAATACTGCAGTTCAACAGCTACAAAATTTTTCAACCATGTATACATTATGTAAAATGAACATGGCATAATTTTATTTTGTAGTTGTTTTTGCTAAATATAAGTCAAATAAACATGATCAGATCACAATTTATTTAGCACAGTAGTTCACCCATCTTTCCTTCTTTAATTCTAGAAAATCCTGCTTACTGATATGTACTGTAGTATTTTCCCATATTTTGACCTCTATTTCCTTATTGCTTATTAACAGTTTTCATCTGTAAAAACATTGTCTTTCCTTTTTACAAGTACAGTGGGGCCTCGCACAGCGAGGTTAATCCATTCCGGATTAACCCTCGCTGTGAGAAAACATCACTGAGCGGGACAGAAAAGCCCATTGGAACGCATTAAACAGTGTTTAATGCGGTTACATCTGTAAAAACGTTGTCTTTCCTTTCTACGAGTATGTTAACATACAGACCTACCTCACTTTGCCTTTTATTTTATCACCATAGTAGTCTCGAGATACATGATATAATGTCTACAAAATAGATATTTCCCAGCCCCAAGCTTCTGTTTTCATTTAATGTCTGTTTTGATGTGTGTGCATTTGTTTTAACCAATTTATGCCAGACGTGTAACACAATGACCTGTTGGAAAATGAGCTCTCTCTCTTTTTTAATCTCTTTCATTTATTTCCAAATCTTTCACTCTGCCCTGCCTCTAATCCTAGTCATTCTACAACATCACCTCCTCCAGGAAAGTAGTTCAAAAGCTAAGACCAGGGCAGCTGCTATTGGAGTGAGTCAGCAGGGATGCTATAAGGAAAAGGCAGACACATAAAAAGGCTGTGCCACCATTGCCGTCCCCGCTGCCAACACACTTCTTCTCCTCCATGCCTAAAGGCAAAGCTCTTCATTTTTTAACCTGCTGGTGACCCTCCTCCCATCTTTGTTGGCCTAAGGCCTGCAGCTTTTCATCTGTTCCACCCATTTGTGAATTCACTTCCCACAAACAATGCTCTTTTCATCCAGCGTGGCCACTGTCTTGGGGCTTCATTTCAACATGTTTCTCTTATGGAATAACAGTGGAAGCCACTGGTTTGGAAATAATATGACTTGCCCCAATTAGGAGTGTGCCTTGTGACACTGATGTGCATGTAACTGACTGTATTTGAGGGCTTCCCTTTGGCAGAGGCAGCTTCTGTTGTTATAGACGGCCTCTTCTCGGGGAAGGCAGGAGGTAGCTGTGTTTTAGGTCAAGAGTTCCTACAGTTCACCCTGCGGCTTTTTGCTTCCTGATTTCAGATAACGTCCATGGAAAGCAATCTGAAAACAATAGAAGAAGAGAACAAACTTATAGAACAGAACAACGAGAGCCTGTTAAAGGAACTGGCAGGCCTAAGCCAAGCCCTCATCTCCAGTCTTGCCGACATTCAGCTTCCACAAATGGTAGGTCTGTGGCTAGGAACCGAGCAATTTCTAAGATGTAAAATTACAGGACGGTGCAGAGGGAATGTTTCAAGGTGCACAATGATTCAGCATAATCCATCAATCACTAAACTAAGGAAATAAGGAACCAAATCAGCCTTGTTCAGGCATGAAGATTGTGGTGTTTCTTTCCGTTTTTTTGGTGGGGAGAATACCTAAGATGCACCCCCAAGCATCCCCTCCACCTCACCAGGAGGTCAGACAGTCCAGATTCATAGACAGATCTTGTGACTGGAAGTTCTGATAAGGCAGGGCTTCCACTCGTGAGAGTCCTGTCCGGTGTGTTCAGATGACTTAGAGATTCTGCTTCAGATGGTTCAACAAGTAAGGTGCACCCCTTGAAAATCCCCACCACCTGGAAGCAAGTTGCATATCTGTGATGGTCTAATTTACTCCCAGGTAGTGGAGATATTTAGGGACTGGATTTATGTGAATGCCAAAATCAAAGATAGTTACAGAGAATTCTACTTACAGAGAATTCTTCTTCCACACAGTTCAGTATCTATTTGATCTCCTCCACACCTCCTCATAGCTTAGAAGCATCACTTTTTGGACTACAATTCTCAAAATTCCCATATTGGGTAGATGGTGATCAGGCCATTAAATGGCTGCCAGAATCCCAACAATACGCAAGCTCTTAAAACAGAGGTAGGCAACCTGCTGCCCTCCTCTCAACTGTAAGAGCTCTGTTTGTCAGAAGCCCTCTCCAAGCAATAAGTTCAGACTTCTAGACAGTCTGCCAATATGCTGTGCCAGAAGGAATAGATATTGGAGGATGGGTGGGGGTATATGTGTGTGGCAGAGACAGAGAGGCAAAGGGTGCTCTACCTTCTTTGGCTGTGCTGTACTCACCCCACAGGCATGGAACCCTGGATAGGAATAAAGTTCCCCATCCCTAGCTTAAAGACTTGATACTCTTCCACTTACAGGCTCCTCCAATGGGTGAAAACTAGAGATGGGCTTCACCAGTTTGTCCCAGTTCATCCCAATACATAAAGGCTGCAGCTACTCCCCTCCCCCACCTCTTCTGGCTCAGTCAGTCAGTGAACAATCCCAATATGGTAGCTTCCTGCACCTCTTCAACTGCTCTTCCGGTCCTGGCAACAGCTCAGGCTTCTGTGGCTGATCTCCCACTCGGTCTGTGCTCTTGCTTATGACTGGGAGATTGCGAAGGAGGTGGAAAAAGCAAGCAATCTTGGCCTGGTGAGTGGCTGAATTAGCTGAGGAGACAGGGAAGGGGAGCAATAGCGCTTGTGCTGCCACCTTTACGAACTGGAATGAACCGGTTCATGCCCATCTCCAGCGAAAACCTATTTCTCATCACGTAAATGCACTAGAGCAGTGGTTCCCAGTCTTGGGCCCCCAGATGTTAATGGACTAAAACTCTCAGAAGCCTTCATCGCTTGCTGTGCTGTCCAGGATTTCTGGGAGTAGCAGTCCAAGAACTTCAGGGGACCCAAGGTTGGAACCCCTGCATTAGATCCATATCTTTAAGAAATGCACAGCTTCCTTCCCCCCCCTTCCTCTTGACAATGACCGCATTGCTATTTGACACCCTACCCCCATGTTTTGTCTTCACTTAGGGCCCAATCAGTGAGCAGAATTTTGAAGCATATGTAAATACACTCACAGATATGTACAGCAATCTGGAACGGGACTATTCCCCGGACTGCAAGGCTCTTCTGGAAAGCATCAAACAGGCTGTGAAGGGTATCCACGTGTAGGGTGGTGAAATTGCCGGGCAGCAGGAGTTACGCAGCCGAAAAGCTCCAGATGGATCTGTGAAGAGCACCGGAACTGCTCAGGAGTCCTGATTGCTGTGCTGCATTTCCAACTACAACATTGCACTATTTTTTTTCCAGCTGTCATAAAAAGGACAGAAAAAAAAATACATAACGGACTATTGTATTAACAGCAATGACTCAAATCACAGAGTATATTTATTTCTGTACAAATCCTTTTTGTTGTTCATCACTTGTTGTTTTGCACTCTTTTCATTTTGTAAAGTGAATATAAAAAGTGTGTGTAACTATTTTTTTACATTTTTTAATTTATTTTCAATCAAAGACTCGTGTGTGGGTGTTTTTAATCTTTTAACAGCATTTCTTGCAGCCTGCCATATTTTTACAAACGTGTTTGTTAATTTATTTTCTGATGGGATTTTAAATAGATTGAAAGTTATACTGTAAATTAAATAATTCACTGGGTTTGTACAGGAGGAAGGGGGGAAGCTATGAAAGAAACTAAATAACAGAACTGTGATTCTAGTTTTATTTTCACCACATCCTGCTTTTTTATAACAGCTTTTTTTTTTAAATAATGAAATAAGAAATGGTTGCAATTGCATGAGATACCATGGATACAAAGGTGAATGGTGCCCTCTGCTGGATGAACGTGAGTACAGCATGTTGTAAAAGTTCAAGATTTTTAGCAATAATGAAATATAGCAATCAGCAATGCTTTGGACTTGGATGGGTGTCTTAGCCTACAGAAAAAGATTGTTCGAAACCATTCAAGTGAAGATCAGACTGATTTAAGGTTTCTTTCTTTCTTTCTTTCTTTCTTTCTTTCTTTCTTTCTTTCTTTCTTTCTTTCTTTCTTTTTCTGATTCAGGTTCATTCATGGAATGAAAACACACACATTTAATCCCCTTCAATGTGACAAGCTTTTGAATGACTTGTAGCTTTTTGGCACAGAGCCTTGTAAAAACATTGGTCAATTGACCAATAGCAATATAATTTCATATTGGAAAAAAATGAATCCCAAACTGATGATTTTGTACATGCAATGAAGCCAAGATCATCTTCTCTGAAGTGGCAGCTATTGTATTAATTTGAATGAAAGGAACAGAGAAGCCTACAGTTGCTTTTCTGTTTTGATTGTGGGAGATGGGGAGTAGGCCCCACTGCAGTGAACTGAAGCTGCACAGCAGCAACAATGTATGGTGATCACAACTATGGACTGTAGCGATGCACTGAATAGTTTTAGCCCTATCATTCATTTAATGCTCAAAATAAATTCCATTACAATTAATAGCACTTGATATACAAGAAAACAGGCCCACTGTAGTAGCTCCATCACAGGGTGCAACTAGAAGGCCCAGTTATTGTGGTCTAGATTGGTTTAGATTGTGCTAAACAGGGTTGCCTTGAGATGCAGTGTGTCATTTGGGATGAACCTTCCACATGTACGAATTAACCACATTGCACCTTTGTTGGCCCTGTTTAGCACAGTCTAGAGCAATCTTCTTTCCTTTTAAAGGGAAAGAACAGAAACAGAAACAAAAAACCGCCATCCCTGTCTCCTCCTCTGAGCTTCCTTAACAATCTTGAGAAGTGTAAAGCTTCCTTCCTGCTCCCCTGCAGAAGAGAAAGGGAATGGAGCTTTCTATTTCTTTTTAATTGTGGCTTTCCATTTATCAAGATCATCAAGTGGCTTAAGCAAAGAGACAGCTTAACTTGATCGTGTCCGAACAGTCAGACATGCTGGGACGGAATAGCCCAACAGTGGCCTGAAAAGGTGTGAGTAGGCATCGATCAGGGATGGCTGGTTTACAATGGGATGTATGTTGGGTGGTGACCAGGAAAAGAAGCAAAATGGCTCATCCTCAGCCAGGACTAAACTGCTGGACAAATGCCCATCTAATTGCACTCTGAGTATGCCAAGACCATTGGTAAATCTAGCTCAGCACTATCCATACAAATAGGTGTCTATTTGAGCCCTATCAGGTGATACCAAGGGTTGAAATTGGAACTTTCTACATACAAAGCACATGTTGTGTCACAAAGTGACAGCTTACTGTTTCTAATCACTTCCTCCAAGCTGTTGCCATCCAGTCTCTTGGGCTACAAGACCTATCGCCCAATGGTTGTGGCTAATGGGAGGGGTAGACCATGACATCTGGGTGGCCACATGTGGCATTCAAAGGCCATATGTAGCCTACAGGGGCTTGAAGGAAGCCCTTACGAGCACTCCTGGGGCCTCCCCAATATCCACACTCCAAAAAGAGAAAAGTGAGGCTCACAAAACGTGACATTTGGACAATTGTGTGATGCTCAAGACTTTCTAGCACCCTCCAGGGCCAATAGAGAGTGGATGGCTGTGCGAGCGATTGCCATGTTTGGTCCCTTGACCTCCGGAAGCTGCCCACTACTGAGTCCAGCCCCTCCCTCCCATCTGTGCATCTTTACTGTATTCACAGAGCAGTGCCATAAGCTTCTGTTTACAGAAGAGACCTGTGTGCGTATCAGAGCCCTGTATAGCTTTGGGTTACGGTACTACAGATGCTTGGAGCTGTGGCTGAGGATGGCCTCAGATTCCATTGGTTGCCATTCCTTAAGACAGGGATAGGATGGAATTGGAAGCCTTTGGCCCTCCACATATCACTGGACTGCATCTCCCATCCGTCTTCGCCAACACGGCCAATGGTGAAGGATTGTGGGAGCTGAATCCGACAATTTCTGGAGGGTCACCTTTCCCCCACCTTTTCCTACCAGTAGGTCTCCTAACAAGTGCTGCAGTCCTAAGACACCCATTCAGAAATACAGACATGCACACCCCAAGTGGATTTCTTGATTATCTGTCTTCACCCTCTTTTTCTTAGCACTTAAAAGCAGAAATCTAATGTCTATTTTAGGGAGTATGAGTAATAAAATCTTGCCCTGGCCCCATAATTTTAACATTGTTGTTTTAAAAGAAGTTATAAAGAACCAGCGGAACTGCCTTTTTATTTGTATGCACACGTCTCCTGTGCATATGTGCCTCAGTGTAAAATGTATTCATGTGTTTCAATTTTTCTGTGCTACAATGAAAGTGTCTATTTTTAATTGCCTACTTTAGGGTCTCAGTTGGGTATGACAGCATTCACCGGCATCCCTCATTCAGTGATATTATAGTGTTTCTCTCCCGGAGTACTTCAAGGTCATCCAACCTTCATACACTTGTGGTTGCTGTTATGCATTAGGTGGGGCTTGCTGTTCATATGGGGGGGGTTAGATTTCACCCCGAAACTTTAGTATATAGACAGGAGAGGTGTATGTTCTTAGAAGCTGTATTTATTTTTTAAAGAAAACAATTTGACAGAAATTATGTTATGTGCTAATATAACACAGAACACCAAATTCCTATTAAATTATTGTACCTGTTTTTTAAAAAAAGACATTTGCTATACCTGTTTAATGCATACAAAAACAAATTCACTCACCACAGAGACTAACAGTCAATTTACTAAATATTTTGAGAAATTAGTTATATGTTTAATTTAATTATTTAATATATTTAATTTAATTTAATTTCATACAAGCATTCTCTTGCTGACCTATTTATTACTATGATTTACTATGGCTTAAGTTATTTTATCTGTGTTTGGTTGTTTGCTCAGGATGTATCTTCATATTAATTTATCTTCTTTGTACTTGATGTTTTCTAAGATGTACTGTGACAGACACAACCCTTCTTCCCCTTCCTTTCTGTTTCATTTTCTTTCCGGCATTAATTTGCATTGATGAGCTATCCTGTAAATTAGACCTTTTGTAAACAGCAATGATGTATGCATTTTTTTTATTTTGGAGTAGTTTGTACACTGTTTCTTCATACAATTAATATTTCTTACATCAGAAACAACAAAGCTGTGTTCTGTGCTGTACAATTGGTGTATGGTAGGAAATAAAATTGATACTGAAACAGGTTCTGCAAGTTCTTTGACTGCTTGAATAGACACTCTGCTTGTATGTTGCGAAATATGTCTACAAACTCTAAGATAGCCATACATTTTATCTGTTTTTTGTGGCAAACATGCTGCTCCTCTAAAGCCACATTGCAGCAATATCTTTATTATGCCAAGCAAAAAAAGGGCACAATAAAAGTGTGCCAGCTTTTGCGATCATCAGATCTCTTCATCAAGCAAGATCCTAGAGGTGGTTATGGCTAACTGGTACACTGAACAGGAGCATTCATAGTAGTAGATGAAGGGAGACGGAAACATTTTGTCTTAAATTCCGTTTGTGTCATCCTAAAAAGTCACTTTTTAGCACTCTCCCAGTCTTTGACCTCAGAACACAATGATGTACATTACTGAATTACACTAACCTATTGGCAGGCTGGCAAACTGACATATTCACTATTCACAGGGTTTGAAAAATTCTCTTTAGAGTTTTTCTCAGTCTTCTGGGGGTTTTCTCATTCTGAGTAATGAACTACCACTGTTTCTTTTGCCTGCTTCATTGATGACAAGACATTCCATATTAGTTCTGAAAGTTCATTAGCACTGATCCTGAAACAAGTATTTTCTAACTTCTCTGCTTATTTCTCTTGCATTGGTTTTTCCACCCTTGACTTTTATTCTGCAACCAGTGACTTCTATTACCAGTGCACCATGGTCTGAGTCAGATGTGTGCCTCGTCCCATCACTTTTGAGGGTTGGTAAGCTCCCCGCTTAGAGCACATCAGACCATGTCTTCTGAAGCTGTGATTGCTAAGTTTACTCAGCAGCTTTTGTGAGATACATCAGCATTATTCAGGCATTCATAAACAATGCAGAGCATACTAGTCCCGATCCACCTTCCTCATCACTTTCAACATATGAAAACGACAGTGGCTGAAACGACGTGCTTGCAATAATCCACAACAAAGATATCCACTGTGGTTTAGCTGTAAACAGACACAAACCCACTTAAAAATAGAGATGGGCACAAATCAAAAAAACAAACTACCAGGTAGTTTGTGGGAAACCGCAGGTTC